CTAAATTGCACAAGACATTAAACAATTAAGACTGGAAAGGAGTATTTTCTCGCAAACTCATCTCATTCTATTACTTAACTTCTTTAGTAACTGTTTTAACAACTTAGTTTACGTTGTATTTCCTAAGCTAAGCAAATAATGTAGCTTAAATCCAGATAATTCTCACCTACAATAAGGGAGATAATATCCCGTTCATATCGTAGTGCGTGTCAAGGCAAGGTAATTTTTGTTTCTCTTGAAAAAAATGTCGAAATTTGGAATGCTATTGGTTGTCATTATGTCAGAAAATATTTATAAAACGAACTCTTACACAATAGTACCCCGTTTATTGTAGATGGAACGTACAGTATTTGTATGATCTTAAAAGAAAATATGAGAATTATGCGAGCTCGCTTCAAATTTTACGCTTTCGATGATCGTTGGTAATAGATTTCAAATTTCATTCCGAAGTTAATGTTGTCTCTGGGTCAAGGAAGTTGGCGTCTCGCCTGCCTTCGGAATGTTAACATGCATAGGAGTGCGCAGTCCAAAACAGGATCTAACTACAAAGCTGTGTCCCCTTTTCCTCTAGGCTATTATTACTCACAACATTTTTGATAAGTAAATGAAGAAAATATAGAAGCAGAAGGAGGTTACAGGATGTCTTGAACTTCTTCCCTAAAGTCAAGTAACGGTTTCCCAAATTGACACATTAAAAACGGAATAAATGAGGGATTGAACGTTTTTAAAGAAAAAAAATCCTACGTAAGTCTAGTCGCGCCTTTGCAAATTTTGAAGGGAGTCATGGCCCACCTTACGCAAGCCTCTCTTAACGCCTCTCTACCTGTGCGCAAGCCTCACTTAACACGTGTTTTCATAAATCAATTAGCTAAATATATTTGTATTGTCACAGATTTATGGTTTTGTGCATGCTGTGCACAGTACACAAGGCGATTATAGCGTGCAAAAAATTTGCTCAACATCGGAACTGCCACTGAGGAAGTTTAATTCACGAGTCTTTGGATAAAACTCGTCGACCGGCTCTCGAAACGTGCGACTGCAACTCCCGCAGGCAATCTTGGACCGAGTTGTTGCCTTTCAGGTTCGGCCAGCGAGACGGAGCGGCGTCAGTGGGGAGTCGAGGACAAGTAACAAGAGGAAAAAAGAATCCCGAGTATCCGCACAATTCAGTAGGGAGTCAAGCGCAGCGCTGCAGTTTGAATTTCCACAAAAAAAAAATAAAAGGTTCGTATATATTTTTTCCCACACTGACTATATTTTTGTCGAGTGGCTGTTGCATTTCATAACGACTTCCATCTTTTGTTTATTTCTGTTTGTAATGTCTGATCCGAAATAAATACTTTCTACTGCTCGCGGCGTTTGCATACTGCAGTGCATAGCATAGGAAAATATAATATTTAATTATCATATATTTGATAATGATTAGCATAATCAAATTAATAATTAGCATGTAATTAACAAGCAGATAATTAGAATTTTATTACGATTATGATACTGAAGTGCATAGCATAGGAAAATGTATTTAATTATCATATATTTGATTGTGATTAGCATAATCAAATTAATAATTAGCATATAATTAACAAGCAGATAATTAGAATTTTATTACGATTATGATACTGAAGTGCATAGCAGAGGAAAATGTATTTAATTGTCATATATTTGATTATGATTAGCAGAATAAATGTAATCTTTTCGGAATAAAAGTTGAATAAAACGCATCTATTTTTTATGTGTGTTTGAACCTTCTGTTCCAAGGCGTCGAGAAGCGCGCGTCGTTTTGGAGAGCAGCGTATCGCTGAAGCATGGAGCTGGTTTCGGCGGCGCTTCTGGTGCTCGTGGTGTCCGCGGGCTGTGCGTGGATGCTGTGGTTCAATGACCCGCGGCGCAGGCGAATGGTGAGGGAGGTCGACAGGCTCCCCGGGCCGTCCGCGCTGCCTCTGCTCGGGAACGCTCTGCTGGCATTCAGATTCACCCGGGAAAGTGAGTGGTCGCCCACGTCGGCTCAATGCGCCCGGGAGTATTGTCCGGTTTTCTTTAGAATGGGATGATTTGACAGCTAGTGCTGGCAACACAACTGACGATTCTGAGGTAGTTGTGTCCTTGAACTTATTAGGCTCTCCTTCCTCCATTTGTTCGTTTGCAGTTGGCTAACTTGTAAATTGTTACGACGCTGGCTGTCCTCGTCCGACGAAAATATACTGCGCCACGAGAAATAATTGAAATTAGGAAGTGCAGAGCTTTGTGCTCTTCTGTAAAAATTATTTATTTTTATAAAAATTACATTGATTTTAGTTTTTATGTGATAAGTATTAAGTTTGTTTTAAAACCGAGTCTTGATTGTGAGATGCGTACTCGTGACAGTGCACGTGTTTACTTCTCTGAAGTGCTCGTGATGTTCACTTGTTTCGCGAACTGTCACTTTATCCCATTCTTAAGAAAAATGGCATCTTGTTCTGGTTGTTACGCAATGGCCTACCGTGTCCTCCAATAGTTGATTTATTAGTGATTTCGGACGCGACAACTGCTAAGGTGGTTATTTTCGTAAGTGTAGTGTATGCTTTTATCGCGGGAGGTGGCGGTCATATTTCGCGCTGAATGGTGAGGTCCGGTGCCGACCTGCCGGTCAGACAGCGAGGTTTTCCCCAACCAGGTACGAACTCTAACGAAGATTTTTTTCTTTTAGTTAAATTTGTTCTCCACTATTAGGTTTTTAACTTAAGTGGTGTACATTTGTTTGAAAAAATAGGTGGTTGCATAACTTTGAGTGGAATATGGTAATTTTTTAACCAAGCATTTTCACAAACGGTTTCTTTTTTTCTTTGAGTGTTTTGAACTGATATTGCTATAAGCACTGTACATGGTGTAATGAATCTCATTTTGGAGAGTTCTTTTGATTTTTCAACAATTACACAAATCTGTAGTTTTGTTGTAATTGCTTGGTTGCTGTGGTTAAATTTTTACACTACGTACGTTTGATAAATTATTGCATTTATGACTACAAGAGATTCGAATGGTTTATGATGATTTTTTTCAAAACTCTAAAGTTTTCTCTGTTTTCATGGAACACTTCCAACTATAGTTGTTTGAGAAAACAATCTAAAAATTGTGCATTTTAAGAAAAGCGAAAACGACATTTTCCCAAAAACGGCTCAAAGTTTTTCGCAGATAATTTGAATATATTAAATTTTACCCTTCTATAATATTCTGAAAGTCATATTTCAATTCCACTATTAAGGGTACAAAAAATTGAAAAATTTGCAAAAAGTCTTGGGTTCTGATTACCTATAAACTTGGTAAAGAGAGGAAAATACAAGGTAGCTACAAGGTAGCACAGGCTGAAGAGATTAGTAAATGAATAGCACGAGAAAGTCTTTGTCCACTAATTATAATGTTAAATTTATATTATAATGACCTATTCTGTCTTTCGTAGATAATTGTGTGCCTTTTGGTAACGGAAATAATGGCAACTTATGGAATCATTTAAATAATTGTTTTCAATAAATTGTCTGAATCAATGATTTGCATCGATTTCAAAGAATCCAGAATGGAATTTAGTATCTTATCAACGGCATTCAAACTTCCTATCTACACAGACTTTGCTGATTACTGATTGAACTCTAGTGTCTGGTCACCTCACGTTCAAAAACAACACATGTCTTCCACACTGATGTGGACATCGGTTTCAGAGTCCTTCATAGGAAGAAATGGTTACCTTTGCAAGTGAACAACTCACTTGTACTTCAGACAATCATAAGCCACTCCGCAATCATTATTGTTTTAAGACCACATATCATATATGTTACTTTACAACGCGCTGCCAGACGACGTTAAAGAGTTAAAGTCGGTTCCCAAATTTAAGTTAAAAATAAAATATTTTCTGCTGCAGAACTGCTTCTATACAATTAGACTATACTGATTATCGAAAAGAAAAATAATGTTTATTTTAACAAAACAGTGATATATAATGGATTACTTTACATTTGTATTGTATAATTTTGTTAAAAGGCTTAATATGTTTGTAACAAATAATATACTTCAGCTTCCGGGTCAATAACCCCCATCTCGATTAAGTTTTTGTCCAATTTCCCTGATCCATTGAGCAAAAGATGAGATGGCCCCTTGTTTTGCTTCTGGACGTAAAAGTAGCTTCACTATGCGCACGTTTTGTTCAACTCTCCTTTTGCTTGTAATGGTAGGAGTAGAGGTAAGTGCGTGTTACTATTTTGTTAATAATGCAGAAAAATTATACTTTCAATTCGTGTACTGATGCAAATAAGTTTTCTATAACTGAGAAACGAAAAGAACTAGTTTTCAAATATTGCTAATCTTTTTATTTCGTGTTGATGCAATTCGACTTGCGAATTAAGATCTTAATGATTTCTTAAAGAAAGTCATTAAAGTTACTCCAAAACACACCCTTGGAGCCCATTTCAAACGAACCAAGTACTATTTCTTATCACTCTTCTTGCGCAATTATATTTCCTTTTGTCATATTTTCTATAATCAAATTTAATCCTTTTAGAGAGTGAAACCGAATTTCCAGATAAAGAGTACAATCAGGTTCATCGAAGTTACAATAGTGTGGATAAAGCGTCCACCAAATCTGCATTGGCGATTTTATTTCAATAGTACTAGATCATTTCAATATGGTAAAAGTTTTCGATTTAATGTAGGCAGCTACACGTGTAAGTAATAGTAAGTTAATTACTGAAAAGAGTTTGTATGATCTGTGCTTACCTTTAACTATGCGTTCGATAGTATAGTAACATCTTCGTAAAAATCTCTAAGTTTTTGACTTCTAGAAATTGTTTACTACTTTAATATACCACTATTATGATAAGCGCCAATACTGATTTGGATTTACAAATTTATTTTAATTTCACAGTATTTAATAATAATTATAATAATAGTAATAATAATATATTATTATTATTATTATTATTATTATTATTATTATTATTATTATTAAGTTTTCATCCTATAATGTTATTTTTCAGATTTCTTCTATGTGATTCATGACATTACTATGACATACTGGCCCAGATACAGATCATGGTATGGACCTACGCCGGAAATAAACTTCTCAGAAGCTGATGATATCGAAGTAAGATGCCATGGCCGATTCCTAAAAAAATAATATTTATGTAAGTAGTCATAGACTAACGTTTTTTCTTTCGCTTTAGATTATCCTTCGTAGCTCCGTGAACATAAAGAAAGGCATGCTTTACCACTTCCTGCATCCATGGTTGGGAACCGGACTTCTAACAAGTTCAGGTAAGGAAGATCAAGATTTCACAACAATGTCTTTAAATTTGTATTTTAGGTCGTACTGAATAAGGCTTGGATGAACGACATTTTAAAATATTACTATTAATTTCACAAGAAAAACGAAATAGCAATTCATTTTAGCAAACTGTAGGATCAATGTCATTATTGATGTTAAATTATTATAATTTTGTTAATTCAAAGAATCTGAGCACTTCTCTGTAATAATTAATCATTTAAGGTAAGGGTGATGATGTTGCTCTACTGCGTTCTCTCGCGAGCCATTTAACTACATAAGCAATTCCTTCCGCTTGACTATATTTATTATATTTATCTTTTTTCTTGATAAGCTTGAATATCTTAAGAAATGGCTGAGACAGAGTAAGGCCCTTCCCAAGAGGCACCTCAAACGCCCGAGAACGTTAACAGGCCGTATAGTACCGGCGATCGCAAAATTATCGAGTGTGCTGCAAATGCATCTGATGTGGAAATGGAGAACAAGGTTTCGACGTACGCTTTGGAACACTGGAGGAAGTATTCCCACAAGAAGTGATGATGATCCTTTACAATCAACTAAAATTCTGAAACGAACGGTAACATTCAAGGAAAACAATTTATCGTTCTCAATGTAGCAATTTTTTTTTTACCCACGATTTCCGGTAACTTCACAGATCTTCGAATGAAAGGCTGATTTATAGTATTTTAAATCCTTAACTTTTCGCTGCACGCGCGATCTTAAAGGTCACGGTTACACGCGCGGAGTGCAAATGTGCTCCATGCCTTCTTTATACAAAATTATATACAATTTTGTCTAATTTGGTTAATTGTGTCTAATATTAAAGTATGATTTAATGTCAAAATAAAAAATCCTCATTATTATATCATAATATATCCTCTTATACTCGTTTATTAAATATTTTTTCACAAAGTTGTGATTTAACACTACTCTAATAATAAAGGGAATTGTCTTAATCACTAAGAAAAGTATAAAATAACAAATCATTAACAATTGTTAAACACAATGCTTGTTGAGTGTTCAACACACACTCGTGCATTACAATTTGCACCCATTCGTCGGGAGGATTTATTCTTGACTTTGATATATATATATATATATATATATATTTTAAAAAAATGGGTTAACGTCTTTTTCGTCAGGAACCTCTCCTAACAACCAAAGACCTCGAGGACTTAAGCTGTGTGGGAATCATGGGCTGTTTTATTCATAGTTTTTGGATGTGAGATTACTGAAATAAGTGACAAATGTTTGTTTATCCTTTTCATATTAATTATTTAATAAATGTAGCCACACCTCTGGTTCTGTATATGTGGCCCTAAACGATGCATTAAGATGAAGTAAATGTCATTCTCCAAAATTCTACTTCTTGCAGGTCAAAAGTGGCACCTTCACCGCAAGCTCATCACCCCAACTTTCCACTTCAAGATCCTCGAGACTTTTCAAGAGGTCTTTACTGATAAAAGTCGAATCCTTGTGGAGAAATTAAATCAGGAAGTGGGGAATAAAAAGGGATTTGATGTGTATCCATACATCACACGCTGCGCCCTGGACATCATCAGTGGTCAAGGGTTTAAAACCAAAAAAAATTTTTTTTTCTTCCCCCCAATATAACATCAATAATTATAAATGACTCAGAAGAATTCGTATATAAAAAATAAGTAGTTCAAAAATTTTTCATGTCCAGAAACTGCAATGGAGTGAACTGAACGCTTCAGGAGGATGCAAGATCACCTTATGTTTCTGCAGTATACGAGTATGCACCTCAGAACATATTAATTAAAACTATAGATGTAACTCTAATTCAAGTCGTTCTCGGCTACCATCAGAAATGTTCTACTTCATTAGTCAGTATCTTTATTGAATTTCCTGCCAAGGTCCCTGTTTTCCTTGCAGACTGAGTTTTCAGTTTCGGTTTAGCAATTAATTTTTATAATTATATCCACCTCTCAGACGGCAGCTCCTAGTGATCGGTGTGGATGAGTAACTATGAGAACTTGTGTAAATATTTCGCTTTGATGTATTTTCTGAGTTTTAGGGTCCACGGATAATGATTTACATGAACTAGAATATAAATTTGAAATAGAATTGACACGGATTAAGTAGTTCAAATTGTTTTTATTGCTTTCGTTATTTGAACTCAATTATATGTATAAATATTTGTATTTATATACATATTTTTACTTTTAAATCTTAAGATTAATATTTTTTTTGTGAATCTGTTATTATCATGAGTGATAAACGAGAAGTAATATGTGCAGCATGTCATCTCCATTGTGATTTACGAAGTTTCTCAACTAGTGAGAGCGAGGATCCACACTTATGCAATCGTCAAAAAAGCTTTGTTACACATTCTGTTTAAATGACTATTTGAAATTTCGCCTGACAGTAGCCCAAAGGTTGAACAAAGATAGCCGCGTCATGATAAAAATTTATATAAGCGAGTTCGATTAACCATGTATACAGTTGTCTAGTGACGAAATATTTACGTATGATAATTATTTATTTCTTCCCTACGCAGGATTAATAACTCTCGTTGCTGCTATTCAGAAATAATAATACTCACTTCAGTTTAATACATTTCCATCTGTATCCTGTGAAACACACATATTCTATCCGAATATTCCACTAGTAACAACAAAAACAATTTCACAAACACAATTTTTCATAAACCCTCTTATTTTATAATATTCTTTCTAGACCCCCCTTTGCATGCGTGACCAATTATCCCTTTTAATTACTATTTTAGAATTTTTAAATTAATACAAGATTTGACGTTTCAATAATGGTGTACAATAAAAAAAAGTTTCATGGTTTGTTCCTTTCGTTTCGTAGAACCACTGCATTCTTGAACATTGATGTGTCTCCATTACAGTTCTATATTCGTTGAATTTGGTTCACTCCAATAGTATCCATGTCCTCCACACACGCAGTTATCATCCCTGAGTAATTACACATTTGCCTACACATTACTCATTAGGAAAAAAAATACTTCTGACTCATAAAATCTAGTCTTTACCCCTGACTCCTTCTGCGTCAGAATAACGTCTCTCCGCACACTACCAGGTCCATCTGCCCCCGATTGTAGGTATTGCGCCCTTCAGCTGTTCCCTGCCCTGCACGAAATTGTACTCAAATGCGTTTCTTCTTCGTTTTTTAAAAAAAAATTTAAGTCTCTTTAGAAACATCTAAGCTCTTTAGCAACCTCTATTAATTTACATTAGAGATCCTTTTTTATGAATTGTAACAAACAAATATTAAGTTCAATACTTTTTAAAATAATTAAGATAATTTTATCCAGACCAGCAATATTAAGATATTTTAAAATTGATTTGCTACCTTCAATTGAATTCAATATTTAATATATATCTTTATTGATCCCAAGGAAGTTTCTAAGATGTTCATCATTACGTACATTCAATGAGGTAAACCATCTAATATAATTTGTAAAGAATCAGGAATTTTGATCTCATCCTCAGGAGAAATAAATGTTTGTCGTCGAAAAATCAATGTGGTTCAAATCGGGATCTGCAAAACTCTCCCGGATAAATGACATTGTTGACCCTTTATTCCCCCATTGACGTTAATTGGGCCCCTAGAACATGGTTTAGGATACTGGGACACACATTGGATAAAATTATTCTTTTTTTGAGTGAAAGTGAGTCTTATTGTGAAGTCTGGATCTAATACGTTAATGGACTTGCAATTAGTTACTAGCACATCATCAACTTCTTTGGAAGCAAGATACACAAAGTCTGTTGTTAGATATCTTTGATGCAAAACGTATTTGAGATGGATTTATTTTCTTTGAATAAAGTCAATGGTGGTGCAACGTTTGGCTGAGTCTATTACTACAGAACCTTCTTTTTTGGGAAACAAACAACTTTGTGACACATCAGCATAACTCTTACTCGAATATGTTTGTTTCGCAACTAGTAGGTAGTGCTTCCATTATGGTAATTGTTATTGTTGTCGTCATTGTTATGTTATTGTTGTTAACTGTTTTATTTACCACATATATTCTTATTCTTCCCACCATCAATTCTGTTCACCTTCCCTTGTATTTCTAATTAAAATTCACTTACTTTATTCTCTTCCCTCCCCCGTTGTTGCTATTGTTCGTGATGTTCGTTATATTTATGAGCTTATTGCTCATGTTTCTTCATACTTGTGATAACCTGTCACAATACATAAGCTAAAATATTACGAGCTCCTGACAAGGAACTTATTTTGCAGAATCTCCGAACTTCTGGCAGAGAGGGCTATGCGTATATGGTTGTACCCTGATTTCATATACTTCTCAACCAAACGCGGGAAGAGATTCAAACGGAGTTTAAATATTCTTCATTCATTTTCTAAGAAGGTATGGAAATAACCAGTGGCGAAAGCGGGGGACGGGCGGAAGAAACCCATGGCACATATTCACATACAAGAGATTTTACTAATTGTTCGTAATATTTAATATTATTTGATTTTTTTAATGCATACTGTTGTTTAGCTATTTTTTCTTAGGGTACGGTCCGGGCTTAAATCGCCTTGTCTTACAGAATTTGGGAAATTCATTAATTGAATAAGTTGTCCAAAAATAACTTTTCTTCCTTTTTCCTAATAAAAAAATAATTTAATTAAAAAAAGTATTTTGGCATACAATGATTTGAATTCTACCCTTTTGTCTAACAGGTTAATTGCGAGATGGTTTGAGGTAGCAATGATAACCTCAAATGAACGCAGTCTCGACTCGGCAGTGAAAACTCGCATGTCAAACGGTAGACAACAGACATGCTCAACTAACCACATCTTATTATCGAAGATTTTAGTTGAGAGTAATTAGTTGAGATAATAGTTACCACGTATTAACTCTCATGTTTTGTGGCATTGCATAGAACAAACCTACAAATATCTACCTACATATTTCCGCCATTGTTCAGACACTTGCGATAACGGGGCGGCATCATAGAACGTTCCCGACTGTGATGCAAACCATGTAATGAAGACATTTTAATCTTGCCACCGGTATTGAACTGCTGACCAGAAAGAAATTGTTTTAGGTGGAAAAAAGGATAAACATTATAACATTATTTCTTTACTACTTATATTGGTGACTCGCACACATCCTGTACACAGTGATGATTTAATAGTCAAAGGGAACTGACTGCCTAGATGTGCCTCGTATTCAACAATTTTTGTTCTGCGTAATCGATTCATGGCAAATGCAAAAGACGTAAATTTTGCGACAGACAAACACACGCTAGAGTGGCCAGTAAGCCCCTAGTAAATGGTTTCTTACACTACACGTTTATCAAAAATTGTAGTGGCTATCGTAATATTATAATTCTTTCTAATGCCATATGCTCCATTTTTCATAATTAGTTATTTTTAGCATGTTGCATCGCGTAAGTCAATTGACTCGTCCCAATAGTCTACTTTAACTATTATGAAACACCAACATTAGAATTCAAATATTGCACGCTTGATAAAACTTTTGATTCTATTTAACTACGATGTCAATTGCAGATCATCAATGACAGAAAACAAAAGCCGATTAGAAGAAATGAAACTGGAGAGACTACAGATGACGTAGGTAAGTAACCAAGATTTGGTGTCAAATTGTATTTCCACTTCCATGAGTTTTCTGAAATCTCGGAGATGAAAACGTAGAAAAGAAACTGTAATTTGAATTTATTGAAATTATATTGCTTCTGTTGACAAAAAAAAATACGAACAAAACATCAATTTCTTATCATTAAGTTTATTCCTAACATATCTACTATAATTTAAAAAGGCTCAGAAATATCCATACGTTTGGACTGTTACATTAAATGAAAGGGAGAAAAGTGTTTTGTGGCCGTGGCCCGTATAAGATGGCGGGTGTCTGTTGCGCAGGGACGAAGCAACGCATGGCGTTCCTCGACTTGCTGCTGGAGGCCTCGCAAGGGGGCGCTGTGCTCACTGACGAGGAGATCCGCGAGGAGGTCGACACTTTCATGTTCGAGGTGAGCACTTTTTCAACGTACATTCACTAGGATTCCCATGACAGATGCAATCCCCTTATCCTCGCAATAGGGGGCTGTGCTCACCGACGAGGAAATCCGCGAGGAGGTCGACACTTTCATGTTCGAGGTCTCGCTCTCTCGCGCTCGCACTCTCACAGGTCAAATAGACTAAGTCGCCTTACTTCTTCGCAACAGGGCGCTGGTGGCTTCACGAGGGATCGCAGGAGTCGACATTCATGTCGAAGTGAGCCCTCTTCAACGCTACATCTACTAGGATTCCCATGAGATTAATCCCTATCCTCGCAACAGGGGGCTGTGCTCACCGAAGAGGGAATCCCGCGAGGAGGTACGACACTCTTTCATGTTGAGGCTGCAGCCTTTTCAACGTACACTACTCCAGGCATTCCAATGACAGATGCAATCCCTTAACTCTTAAGCAAAGGGGCTGTGCTCACCGACGAGGAGATGTGCTGAGGAGGTCAGACACTTGCATGTTCGAAGTGACCTTTTTTACAACATGTGACCATTTTTAGAATTCGTATTAAAGAACATCTTGATGGGAGGCTTGCTGAATACTTATGAACGGTGACTGAAAGGAAGTGTAGTTTAGGTGCAGGATAGTAGGATCTTCATTTTAGATACAAACGGAGCTGCAAGTCGTAATATTGCGCTGATACTGTTCCTGTTTGTTGACGTCGCTCACGGTTGATCTGATCGGAGTTGAATTGGGTGCAATCTGTGGTGTATTTTACTTCTTTTTTCGGCCTTGCTGCTTACGCACTCTTACAGAAGTGTATGTAAAATGCGGGAAAGGGCGATTTTTCCACAGAGAACGTTTTATTGCCGGGCCCTGCTAACAGAAAGTTCATAAATCATCTTCTTATTGGTTGTAAATTACTGACTCTAACACGTTGTGTAGTCATCAATCGTTTGTACGCTGGTATCCTCACAGGAAATATAAATTGAAAGCAAAAAGTCTGTCATCTGTCTGTGACACGCTAGCGCTAAACCGTAGCCAGGAATTTTGACCAAAAATCGAAATTCCTAATCAATATACCCGAAATCGAGCACCTGTGAGTTTGGAAATGACTCACTTCTCGGTTTTGGTTTCGTTACACGAAGCGTCAAAAAAGAATTGACTTTCTTGAAAATAAACCAAATTCCTTTTATCGACACTCTCGTCAAAAGCATTTAAAAAAACGCGAGAGTCACTTTTTTTGTGAAATCTGTACTTTTCGAACCACTAGCCAAACCCGCTTTTTTCCATTTTTATTCCAATCTCTTTCCTCGCGTCGTAAGAAAAAGGTAGAAATGATGCTGGGTTCGCATTTTTGTGAATCAGTGATTTTGTAAAATTACAAAGTTTACATTTTGTGCGTTAATATTTTCCACAAAAACTTCCACTACTGAAGATAGAAAGGTTTTTAATGAAATCTCTTCATAAAAAAGATGTGAATAATGTCATGTTCTATATTTCGAAATGAGTAGTTTTTTGTCAAACAAGGCATAAGTTGAAATGAATTTTAAACAATTTATTTTTTTTGCAAAAAATGACTCCATTATTTCTTCTGCATTTACTTTTCTCGCATTACAAAGGTACTTGTAGAAGAGAAAGTTTATTAAAACTGTGCCCGGACAACTGCGAATTTTGGGAGGACAAACCCTTGTAGCGAGCGCAACATTTTGTGAATCCACGTTTTGTGATTCTTGATGACGAAAAAATCGATTGACGGCAAAACGTCGTTTGATTGGTCTGTGATCATTGCTACGTCTGAACGTCCACGGATTTTCTTTTAAATTGACATTCCTCGATGGTTCTGAAGACTGAGGACTTTGGGAGATTTTCAAATGTTATTTTGTTTTTGACGTACTTTAACATATGCTCGAAACGCTTTTAAATATAAAAAAGCACAATTTTTTAGCCACTTTGTTCTGCGTAAACATGAAGGACGCTGAGAGAAGAGCTAGTCTCTGTGTTTTGTTGAATCCCCAGATTTTTTTAAAGACTAGGGTAGGTTTCCTTGTTAGATATTTTCTAAAGCATAAATTTAGATGGATATTTTACTTAATGAATATGTCTTAAAG